TGCCCTGCCCACTCCACGAGCCTCGCCAGTCATTTCCGGCAGCCGTCCTGTTTAGCAGGTTTCGGGCCCTACCCGCCCCACCAGCCTCGCCAGTGCCACCTGGCCCTCCGGGGAGGCCCCACACGACGGGCGCAGGCATCGGGACACCGGGCCATTTATCAGGGCTTGTGCCCTCCCCATTCCCCACCCCGCCAGCCTCGGCAGTGTCACCAGGCCCTCCAGGGAGGCCCCGCCAGACCGCGGCAGGCCTCGGGGGGCCGTGTTGTGTATAGTTTTCTGTTTTCTCTTCACTCCACCAACCTCGCCAGCGCCACCTGGCCCTGCGGGTAGACTGCGGCAGGCATTTGAAAACTGTGCTATTTACCAGGTTTTGTGCCGTTCCCGCTCCACCAGCCTCGGCAGTGCCATCTGGCCCTCCAGGGAGGCCTCGCCAGACGGCGGCAGGCATCGGGATATTGGCGAGGCTGGGGGAGTGGGGAGGGCCCGACACCTGAGAGGCTGGTGGAGTGGGGAGGGCTTGCAAAAGGCTGGTGAAGTGGGGAGGGCACGGAACGTGATAACCAACGCGGCTGGTGGAGTGTGATTGGCGATGCTGGTGGAGTGGGGAGGGCACGAAACCCGAGAGGCTGCTGGAGTGGGGAGGGCTTGCAAATACGCTGGTGGAGAAGGGAGGGCACGAACCGTGATAAATAGTACGGCTGGCGGAGTGTGACTGGCGAGACCCTTGCAGTGGGGAGGGTACGAGGTCCGAGACGAAACTGGTGTAATCGGGAGGGCTTGCAAGAGAAAAGGATGTTGAGCTTGCATGAGCATGAAGGGGGCTGGGATGAGAAGGAGACGGAGGAGGAGGGAAGGAAGGATGTGTTCTGGGATACCGTGTTGTTTATCAGGTTTCGTACCCCCTCCCCACCCCACTAGCTTTGCCAGTACCACCTGGCCCTCCAGGGAGGCCCCGCAGGACCTCGTCAGGCATCGGTCATTCTGTTCTTTATCAGGCCCTCCTCATTCCACCAGCGTCACCAGTGCCTCCTGGCCGTCCAGGGTCGGAGGAACTAGGAGGGGGAAACGTATGATGAGGACCATGGCGCGTAGGAGGAGTGGCGCAGACCTGAAGAAGGAGGAGGAGGAGGAGGCATGACGACACATGCGGCATGCGGGCGAGGATCGCGTGGGTGCGGAAGCAACAAGCACCCTTCTGTGGAAGCGCGCCCGCAGAAGCCCCACCACGCTTTTTTTCTGAGGCCCCCGACGCAGCCCACAGAGGCCCCCACCGCGCCCACCAGAGGCCCCGCCTCGCCTGCCACCGAGGCCTCAGACACAGCCCTCACAGCATCTGAGCGCGAAGCACCCTGGCAAGCTGCCTAGTGAGGCCCCAGGCACAGCCCACAGAGGCCCCCAGCGCGCCCACGGAGGCCCCGCTGCCCACTGAGGCCTCCGACACAGCCCACAGAGGCCCCAACCCCGCCCGCAGAGGCCCCAACCGCGCCCAGGGAGGCCCCGCCACGCTGCCTACTGAGGCTTCAAACTCAGCCCGTGGAGCCCCCGAGCGCGCCCACAGAGGCCCCACTGCGCTGCCCACCTGAGGCCCCAGACGCAGCCCACAGAGGCCGAACGTTCTGGACTTTCAACTGTTTTGCTGCTGTTGTGCCTCCTTGACCCCGCGACCCGTCCTAAATTTTCATGTGGGGATTTCCGGTCACATGAGTTGTTTTGGCTCAAACGACTAGCATCCATTAGATCTTGCTTTGCCATATTCTGTTATAGGCGACTCTGCTTTGTGTGCACAACGTAACGCGGCACGTATTTCGAGAGTCGACTTGGCGTTGATGTCTGGAACAGATACTTGTGCCCTTTCACCTTGGCAACGGTTCGGATGTCTTGCTTTTGGCCAGAAACGCATGGATAGTTGCGCCACTTCATATTTGGTTCGACTGGTTCAGTCGCGTCTCGTGCATTTTGCCTGTGTGCTTCTTTGCAGGTTCTTCAGTTTGCCGCTCCTGTGTTTGTCTTGGGCCATTTTGATGCGTGCTTTTGCCGCACATCCATAGTTATCAGACTGGCGTCGTTTGCCCGCAGCGCACGTGCGTGATTTGTGCCCTTGTAGCAAAGGTGTTTGTGCTTGTCAGTGTGTGTGTGTGTGTGTGTGTTCGACCGCACTCCGCCTCGACGCTGCGCGCGAGGCCGCAACCGCCCAAACGTGTGTGTGTGTGTGTCTCTGTGCGTTTGTATAGGTGTGCGAGTTCGGTCCTGAGAATGCGTGGGACTTGGCATGTGCCTTGTCTAAGTACGACCAGTTCAGCTCGTCTTAAGCTCTAGCAGTGGCCTGTCCGTCTCCTAATCCGGCTCGATACTCGCGGCCCTCTTAGGCCTAGGTGCTGGTGGTTGAGAGGAGGAAGAGGGCGAGGACGCGGGGGAGCAGGATAGGGAGGAGAAGGAGGAGGAGGAGGAGGAGAAGGAGGAGGAGGAGGAGGAGGAGGACCAGGGTGAATTGGAGAGAGGGGGCGGGAGGTAACGGCATGCGAGGATAGGGGGTGGGGTTGGGGCGTAAGGCAGCCGCGGAGGAGGACAAAGACACATTTTCCAACCCGTCCGACAGCGGGCCCGTCGAACATCCCACATCGGAACATGGTACATGATTGAGGCGCCGTTCCAGACAACCGCGGCCTCTTCGCCCCTCCCCACGTTCGGCAAACAGAGAGTTGGCATGAGGAGATGCAGGAGGATGACGAGCAGCAGCGTTAGGCGTCGTTGTTGCCCCGCGGGGACGCGGACCGGGGCAGGAGCAGTTCGATTGGTCATATTCTCCTCGAAGTAAGATTGCATGGTGGTGTTGGGTCCTCGTTTTGAAGAGACGGCGCCCCGCGTTCTCCTCCTCCCGCCTCCTTCCTCCCCCTCCTCCCTCCCTTGCCTCTGCCCTCCGCATGCATCTGTTTTGGCACACCCCTCGCACGTTTCGTGGCCCCATAGGGAGGTCCACCGAAGGCCCCAGTGGCAAAGTTCGCATGGCGGCCCCGCCTCACTTCGGCGCACCCCTCACACGTCTCGTGGCCCCATAGGGAGCTACACCGAAGGCCCCAGTGGCAAAGTTCGCATGGCGGCCCCGCCCCATGTCGGCGCACCCCTCACACGTTTCGTGGCTCCACAGGGAGCTCCACCGAATGCCCCAGTGGCAAAGTTCGCATGGCGGCCCCGCCCCATTTCGGCGCACCCCTCACACGTTTCGTGGCCCCACAATGAGCTCCACCGAAGGCCCTAGGGGCACGGTTCGCATGGCGCCACCGTATCAATTTCGGCTCACCCCTCACACGCTTCGTGGCCCCATAGGGAGCTCCACCGGAGGCCCCACTGGCAGGGTTCGCATGGCGCCACCTCATATTTTGGCACACCCCTCAAGCGTTTCGTGGCCCCACAGAGAGCTTCCCCGAAGGCGGGGCTCACAACTGCGGTATTCACAATTACGTCTGGTTGGGTCTTTCGCCAGGATAGATAACTTTTTCTTGGAGGGGGAGGAGGCGGGGGATGTTAAGCCCAGCCAGTGTCCCCGGTATGTTTGGAGTGACCTTCTCCCCCCGCTTCTAGCAATGCATTCCAACACCAGACCGTGAAATACCCGTTCTTTCCAAAATTCAGCGTGCAGCGCCTGATAAGAACGAGAACGAGCGTTTTCTACATTGATTTCTATCCTCGTGAGGGGCGTTTCATGCTACTGCGGCTGAGGAGGAAGGGGGGTAGGACTGGGAGTGTAAGGATGCCTGCTATTGTGCCCGCCTGCTGTGGGCCCGCGCCGTCTAGGTCCTAGCTCAGGGTGGTCACGTGCTCTTCCTCTGCGCTGGAGCCGAAGGACTCGATGGAGCGTTCGAACTCCTCCTCCTCCCGCCGACGCGTTCGATCCAGTATCCAAAGCAGCCAGGCTGTAAGCGTGACCAGAATTCGTGAGACGCCCATGCATAACTTCCAAGGCAACCTCGCGTCCTTCCGAAGCAATCCTTCTCCTCTCCCGCCTCCATCCTCATTGTGGGGAGGCGTTGCCAGGGCGCAGCCCAGCTCTTTACGGAGAAACTGGCTTGGGACAGGGCACGTCTACAGCCAAGGGAGGATCGCCACGCGTGCAGCCAAAGTAAGCACCGCAGTGCCCACCTCGCCATATTCAAGCTCGGATATGGGACTCTGGGCTTGCATAGTTTCGTGGTGAGGCAGGGTGCGGGTACCCGCTCGTTTTTGCAATCCGTCGGTGGAGCCGTGAAGCGGCTTCGCGTGTGTTTTTGCGGAGTGTTGCCTCTGCCTGCGATTTTCCGTTGTTTCGGTGATCTCCGGGAGTTGATACCCTTACACTGATCTTCATTTCAAAGAATGGGGAGTTTGGAACGGAGTGAGGCAGAGCAGAGCAGACGAAAAAGAGCAATGCAGTGCAGAGGGAGGAGAGCAGCTCAGACCAGAGCAAAGCATATCAGCTATATCAAAGCAGCCCAAGGGCAGGTAAGGAAAGATCTCAAAAGAGGCGGTGCTCGATTACATATAACAGAAACCATGTGTGATACTAGAGCAGGGAGCAGGGAACATACGAACTAAGATAGCTTAGTGTGGTGGAACAGATCATGGCAGCTAATACAACATCCAGACCTGACGATGCAGCACCCCTACTCGGCACACACACACACACCAGCGTATCTGTACTTTCCGGCATAAGGGAGAGCACACGCATACTTCAAACACACACACACACATGCACACGCACGATCCCAACATTGTACTGGCAAGACGTAGAGGCAGATGGAACGAGGATGAGAACGCGGAGTTGAGTGAGTGGGGAATGCGTCGAAGGTGCTCAGCATTTTGTTGAAGCGCGCCAGAAGTTTCTGTTTATGCCGCTTTTTCTTCTTCGAATTTGTGCGTTCGTCTGGCTTGTCTCCAGTTCCGCCCCCCGAGGATTGGCCAGCCTGCGCCTCGGCATCGAGCACTTCGTGAGGCCGCTGCGCCGGCACGTGCGCAAGGGGGCCAAGGCGGGCTCCTGCCTTCTGCCCAGCCTCAAGGATGAAGGAGAGGAGGTGATAGGGAATAAGGATGGAGGAGGAGGAGGAGGAGAAGGAGGAGGAGGAGGAGGAGGAGGAGGAGGAGGAGGAGGAGGAGGAGGAGGAGGGGAGGAATCAGGATGAATGGGGGATGAGACGCACGTGGATTGGGGGGCGGGGGGCAGGGGAGAGGCGGAGAATCGAACGAGAAATAACGGCATGAACATGAATGTTTGGCGCTCCGCGCGAGTTTCTTGGCGCTTCCCCCCCCTTGCGGCGCCTCCGGCGCCGCCCCTGGCGCGTTCCGCGCGCCAGGGAGGGAGGTCCAGCGTAGACCCAAGAAATCTGCGCGGAGCGCCACAAGTTTATGCTTATGCCGCTTGTTCCTCCTCTAGAGAAGGAGGTCGGAACAGCTCACTTGTAAAACTACCTGGGCCCCAATGGGGCGATTGGGATTCGCGCAGCAGCTGTACGAATGGAGGGCGGCTCAGTTTTACGAGCGGACTCTGTCTTGAGACTTCCTCGGCATGTACGGCAAGACATTTGAACTTGTGCAGCGCTTGGACGGATGGGAGGCGCATCGTTTTTTTCAAAAACGAAGCTTCTGCTGCACACATCCTTGGACTTGGCTCTTCCTTTTTGCTTGTTTTGTCGTGGGAAGGATGGGCAGTGCATCCTTACGAAAACGGGGTCTCTCCTGAATGGCTGGCCCACGGGGAGTTCGTATGCCAAGATGGCGCTTCCCGCAGTGGAAAGGGGGCACTTGTACGCATAGACCTGTGGGGAGGGGACTTGGGTGCTTGGGATCGGGGGCTTCATTGCTGCTTCGTGGATGCATCCTGGGTTCACTGGTTCTCCTCCTCCTCTTTTCTGCTCCTCCCTCTTCTCCTGATCCTCCTGCTCTGTAGTCGCTCAGACGGGCGGTGGTGATGGGGATAGTGATCGTTTTGAGCTGGAACGGGGCAAGAGGGACGGGGCGCGGGACATCCTGGGTGTCAGTGCGCATCTAAGCCAATAGGCTGCGGGGGCAGAGGGCAAGAGGGGAAGGACGGAGAGGACACGGAGAGGAAACGGGGGACAGCGACCCAAACTTTAGCGTCCTGAAACCTCTTGGCTACCTCTGGAAGGTCACCGCGCCCCCTCCGGCCTGATCGAACTGCAGGAAGACGGGTTCCCCCGCGATGCTCCCTTCCTCTTTCTTCTTCTCCTCTTTCTCCTCATCCTCGGGCGGGTCGTGATACTGGCTCCTCTGCTTCGGCGTCGCCGCTCTTCCTCCGCTCCTCCTAGCGCTCTCACCTCCTTCCCTCCTCCTCGCAACCTCATCACCTCCACCACCTGAGTTCTCCTCCTCCTCCTCCTTAGTCTCCAGTCCAGGGGAGGAGCCCCACTCACTCCCCTCATCTCGACGCTGGGCCTCTACGGTAAGGGCCCTCCTCGAGGCACCTCGCGAGCGAGACTTGAGGGCGGTGTTCAATGAACGCTCATTGATATGCCCGGACTCGTCCACGAGGCACAAGGTGCCACGACACAGGAGGTCGTGGAGAGCAAGGTTCCCCTTCGCGGGGTCAGCATGGGTAAGGGGGTCAGCCGGCATCCGTCCGTGCGGAAGCCATCGGACGGACGACCCAACCGCGGACAGACTGTCGCGAACAACCGCTAGCTCCACGGAGTTCCGCCGGTCCGCCCTGGATCCCGCCGTGTTCCGAGACAAAGTGTCGAACACACTCTTGGCGTCAACTACTGAAAGGGCACTGGCTTTCTCTCCCAGAGAGCATTCCTGAGACATTACCACGGCAAACGGTGAGGCCACGGCATACCAGTCAGGACGCGGCACGTCGCCATAGACGGCGTCGCGCCACAGCACCTGGAGCCACTGGGCCTCCGAAATCGCACTGCTGAGGGACAGGGTCTCGGCCGCCACGGTCGAGGCAACTACTCGCTTCAAACGCTGGGAGCGCCAGGAAAGCAGGCTAACCTTGGCTCGAACGTTCTTCCGGATTCCGGCATCGGCGACGAGGACGAGCCACGCTCCCTGAGCTCCTCCTCGCCTGGCGCTCCCGGGGCCCCCCGCGTCGGACGCAGTCACGAACACGAGTGAGTGGGGATCCAACGCCCAAATCGTCAGCCGCTGCGCCGCCGTAGCCTTGAGGTAACGACAGATCTTGATCAGCATAAGCCCGTCGGCCACGGTAGGATGAGGCATGGCCAAAGCGAGCAAAGATGCCCCTCCGGCGACGTCGGGGCGCGATTCTCTCGCAACCCACTGGACTTGTGCAATCACCGCTCTATAGGAGCTCACTTCAGAGGGGGAGAGGGGTTCTTCGGGGGACTCTCGCCTCGACTTGTCGAGGTGCAGACACGATAGTTGTTCACGGATGTACTTTTCTTGGTCGACCGAAATCCCGTCCGCGTGCTGGCGGAAGTGTCGTCCCCCATAGTCCGCCTCAGCTTCCTTCCACTTCCCAAAATGGAACCTCGACATGAGGCGCTCCCGGAAGTTCGGAATGAAGCTCTCGCGCCCGGCCACAATCAGGTCGTCGACCTCGATAAGCACTAGCCCCTCGAGGGCCCCAAACTTATCACGCTTCAAATGCAGGCAGGGCTCAAGGAGTGACTTGACCAGGCCTACAGACTGGAGGTAGTCGGTAAGCGTGCGGTGCCAAAGAAGCGGCGCGTCATTCAACCCATAAACAGGGGCCACCAGCTCGATCAGTTGATCGGATCCGAGAGGGAGGCCCTGGCAGGGCTCAACGTAGATCGCTCCGTTGGGACGCCTTAGCTTCTCGCTCTGACAGAAGGCATTCTTAGCATCAGCAATGTTGAGAGTCCAACCAAACGAGGCGACGATCTGCAGCACGGTGAGCACGCTTTCCGTCTGGGGCGTCGGGGCATAGACGCGGAGCGTTTCTCCGTCAGGATCTTGGTGCCCGTGCACGCACCAACGTGACTTGGGCACCGGTTTCTCCCCCACACCCTCCACCGGCTTCCGCCTCCTGACCATGCGGGACGAAAGAATACGGTCGGGGTGGCGACGCTTTACAGCCCTGGCTTCCGCGGGAGAAAGAACTCGGACCGCTCCTGATGAGAGCATGGCTTCCCATTCTTTGAGATCGGAGGCCTCGAAAGCTCTGCGCTCCTCCTGAGACAGGTCTTTCCAGCGGACCTCGGCTCCCCTCGGATTCGACCGCGCGGGAGCCTGAGCCAGGAACGAGGCCCCGGCAAGGTCGTCAAAGTCGAACAAAAATGATGCTGGGGAGCAGCCTCAAGCCGCTTCGTCCCAGCCTCGAATCTCGCCCAGAAGAGCTCGATCCTGTTCGTCGTCGCTCCCGTTCCAGAGATCAAACTCGTAATCCTCGGAACCGACTGAGGCCTCGGGCTCGGAGCCGGCGGGTCCCACCAGGAATCCCTCGGACCCGGGGCCACGCTCTCCGGAGCGACTTCGAGCCCTGGCTCCCGAGTCGCCCTCGCGACCCCTAGGGGCAGGGGCACCAGGCCTGGCTCTGGGCACAGAAATGCCTCTCCCGGAGCCGACCCGAGGCGATCGAGGCACCTCGGCAGCGGGGGGCGCACTCGGCAAGACGGGAGCCGTCTCTGGGCTGGGCGCGCCCGGCAGGGCCACGGGCCCGCCCCGGCCGGCGGCCTCGAATTCTCGGCTACCCCGAGCCACGGTCGATTCGGGGGAGTTGGCCTCTTCGATCGGGGTGATCACCACCCACCAAACCACCCCAACCCAACCCGAAGGCTCAAATTTACACTCGATTTCCAGTGGGGGGTGGTCGGGAAACATAGAAAAAACACATGTGGAACCTTTACCCCCCCCAACCCGAAATTCGGGTCTTCGGGTTGGGTTGGGGTGGTCTGGTAGGTAGTCAGGTGAGGCGTGGTCTCTGAGCCGGAGGTTCACCAGGGGGCCCCTCAGGGTCCGAGGGCCGCACGGCTGCCCGGCGAGGCGCCTCGAAGTCGGACAGCGGGGCCGCGCTCGAGCTGGGGGAGACCAGACGAGACATCGAGGGCTCGGAGGGGACCACCGTCGGAGCGGATCCGGAGGCGGGCGCCGCGCGCCCTCCCGGGTCCTGGGGCTGCCTCAAGAGGGGGGGGGCGCCCAGGGCCTGACGCAGGGCTGCAGGCAATTCGCTCGCCGGCTCCGGAGCCGGGGCGGCGGCTCCACTCGAAATTACTCGGGCCGCTGGGTCGGGTGGCGGCTCCGCCGCGGTCTCAGGGGAGTCAAAAGCTTCTGGGGGAGGCGGACCCTCAGCGGCCACATCGATGGCGCCAGATCGTTTCGCAGGATTCCGAATCTCGTCTCTCAATCGATCGAAAGTAGAACTTTCCAATAATTGCGCACCTAGGGTCTCGGACCTCGTGGCCGGGCGAACTTGTTCAGCCGAGCACTTTAGGAGCCGCGTCCGCATGGCGACCCACACGGTTCCCCCCGGACCCCCGGACTGGAAAACCACCACTCCCGGTCCTGTCCACCTGTCTCTCTGAAGGGAATGTGACCTGTTAGAAGAAGTAAGGCGCATGTAGACGTAGACCCACTGGCCTGGAGAGAACTGCCGGTCCACATGCTGGCGGGCCGAGGCGGCCTCAGCGAGCCGAGATCGCGCATCTAAAGCAGCCAACGCTCGGCGAGCCGCCTCTCGGATTCGATGTTGACGGGCAAAGGCGGCGGCCGCAGTATCGTTGTCAGCCGATCCTGGTTGCACATCTTCCGATCCAACGAGGTCGAGGCCGTCGTCCGACAGGACGCTCCGCGGGAAACGCGGGTTCTCGCCAAACACCAGCTGGGAGGGGCTGAATCCGCTCTGGTGAAAGTTTCGGTTCTTGGCCGCCACGACTTCACACAAGAGAAGGTCCGTCTCAGCGCGGGAGGTAGGGCTGCAGCCGAGGGCGGCCTTGGATAAGGCTTCTTTCACCAACCCCCCGTGCCTCTCGCACTTTCCATTGTGGTGGGGGGTGTTGGCAGGGACGACATGGACAAATATGCCCAA